CTTTTTGTAAATTAAGTATATAAATTATATATGCAAAACAATCAAATTTCAATTTAATTAGCTAATAAGCCATTGTGATCACTATGATTTTCAGAAGGTGAGCATTATTTTTATTCATCCTAGTAGAAAGAGACTTTAGTTGGTTATAATTATCAGTGTAGTAAAAATAAAACATTTGGCATGAAAAATTAACATTTAACCATACCTAACTGTGGTATCTGAATCAGTGGCAGTGATACTCTGTTTCAAGTGTGCTGAATATCTGTGTTACCTGAGATACTACTTTGTGGTCGTTTTTTGGCAGGAGCCAAAACAAGCAAGCAAACAAACAAAAAAACAACACTAAGCTAAGTTATGTAGGAATATACATAAGGTATTTCAGATTCGGTCTACATTCTTAGCAAACTGGTGTCGTTTTTTTATGTAATCACTTTTCTCTGTAACACCTCACTTAATAGAAATGTTCATTCTACACTGGATTCACAAAGGAGAATTTAGTGATCAGTGCCGTCTCTGGGAAGTGAAGGGTAGGAGGAAGCAGAGGAGGGAATTACATTTGGGACTCCCACACTCTGGTCTTACCATGGATCTATTGAATAAAAGGGCATCAACTTGTCTCTCTAGACATGTATGATGGGGTCTGATTTCTTAGGGACCCTCTGAGCGATCCTCAATGCACAAACTAAGTCTATTCTATCTCAGAGGAAAGGCAGCAAGAGGGCACAGCAGCCCCCCTGGCTCTCCAGGGACCTAGCAGACCTCCTGAGGCTAAAAAGAAAGGCCTACAAAGGATGGAGGATGGGAGTCACCTCCAAGGAGGATTATTCTGCACTGGTCCGGTCCTGTAGGGAGCAGACCAGGAAAGCCAAGGCTGCAACTGAACTCCAGCTAGCTTTGAGCATCAAGGACAATAATTCTGAAGAGTAGAAAATAGGAGGATACTTTTAACCTATTAAATAGGTACTTTGCGTCGGTCTTTCATCAGTCCCATGGGATGCCCATGCCCGCTACAGGGCCGGGAAGTCCGGGTGAGGGTGATCCCCTGCCCTCCATTGATGCTGACTTTGTGAAGGAACATCTTGAGAAGCTGGATACCTTCAAGTCAGCCGGCCCTGACAATCTTCACCCCAGGGTACTCAAGGAGCTGGCGAGCATCATAGCCCAGCCTCTAGCACGGATCTTTGAAAACTCTTGGAGCTCTGGTGTAGTGCCCGAAGACTGGAAGAAGGCCAATGTGGTGCCTATCTTCAAGAAAAGGAGGAAAGTGGATCCGGCTAACTATAGGCCCATCAGCCTGACTTCTATCCCGGGGAAGATCTTAGAAAAGTTTATTAAAGAGGCCATCCTTAATGGACTGGCCGACGCCAACATCTTAAGGGATAGCCAGCACGGGTTTGTTGCGGGTAGGTCTTGCTTGACCAATCTCATTTCCTTCTACGACCAGGTGACCTATCACCTGGACAAGGGAGAAGAGATTGATGTCATATATCTTGACTTCAAAAAAGCCTTCGATCTGGTGTCCCATGATCGCCTCTTGGAGAAACTGGCCAATTGTCGCCTTGGGTCCTCCACGATCCGCTGGCTGGAAAATTGGCTCCGGGGTCGGACCCAGAGGGTAGTAATCGATGGAAGTCACTCATCGTGGTGTCCTGTGACCAGTGGGGTCCCCCAAGGCTCTGTCCTTGGACCCATACTGTTCAACATCTTCATTAATGATGTGGACACTGGAGTCAGAAGCGATCAGAACTGGCCAAGTTCGCCGATGACACCAAACTTTGGGGCAAAGCATCCACACCAGAAGACAGGCAGGTTATCCAGGCTGACCTGGACAGGCTCAGCAAGAACATGAGCCTGCAATGCGATGCGGTGGCTAGTAAAGTGACCAAAACGATGGCTTGCATCCATAGATGCTTCTCAAGCAAATCCCGGGACGTCATTCTCCCCCTGTACTCGGCCTTAGTGAGGCCGCAGCTGGAGTACTGTGTCCAGTTTTGGGCTCCACAATTCAAAAAGGATGTGGAGAAGCTTGAGAGAGTCCAGAGAAGAGCCACGCGCATGATCAGAGGTCAGGGAAGCAGACCCTACGATGACAGGCTGAGAGCCCTGGGGCTCTTTAGCCTGAAAAAGCGCAGGCTCAGGGGTGATCTGATGGCCACCTACAAGTTTATCAAAAAGCGCAGGCTCAGGAGTGATCTGATGGCCACCTACAAGTTTATCAGGGGTGACCACCAGCATCTGGGGGAACGTTTGTTCACCAGAGCGCCCCAAGGGATGATGAGGTCGAATGGTCACAAACTACTTCAAGATCGTTTCAGGCTGGACATAAGGAAGAATTTCTTTACTGTCCGAGCCCCCAAGGTCTGGAACAGCCTGCCACCGGAGGTGGTTCAAGCGCCTTCATTGAACACCTTCAAGATGAAACTGGATGCTTATCTTGCTGGGATCCTATGACCCCAGCTGACTTCCTGCCCTTTGGGCGGGAGGCTGGACTCGATGATCTTCCGAGGTCCCTTCCAGCCCTGATGTCTATGAAATCTATGAAACACATATGAGAAGATGGTCTATTGACTTCAGATCACAACTAAGCAGGCAACTAAACACATGTAAAGACTTATTGCACATCAGCTTCTTCTTGGTATGTGCCCAGATGCTCAGTTTTACCTCATGGTAAATGAAAGCTAACCTGCAGTAATTTAATTCTAAGTAAGAACAGACTTGCAGGGTACATCGACACAAGACTCTAACTGCGCAGTAGTCTAATAATATTGCTACTATGAATAATAGCACATCACAGCACAAAGTGCTAATATGCTACTGCACAGTATTATTAGGCTACTGAACAGCAGCATCACTAAAAAGGTGTGCACAGGCACTGCTGCACAGTAATGCTGGTTACTGCACATTAATTTAGTACTTGATTATACAAGTACCAAATTTAATGCATAGTAACTACGGCACATTAATGAATGCATGGACAGGCCCACAGAGAACTACAGTGTCAGCTGATGCACAATAAGTTGTTCCTCCCTTTAACTCTAATTTGTTCATTTGTTCAGACCCAAAAGTTTAGACTCAGCAGGCTAATACAGCAGCGATTTGCCCTAACCAGTTTGAAGATCTTGATCTTTATACCTGTGGTTGTGTTCTTTCACTTGCATTTAAATATAAGATCCTATTTTAGTTTCTTTATTTTTAAAAACACTAAACATTCTGGTCAGAGACACAAAATCTTTCTTTTCCTAACTTACTGCTCATCATTTATTTCATTGCATCAAGTCCTGGACATTGCACATTTATACTGCTGTATAAGAGGAACATATATACATCGTATAGCCCTAAATCAGTATAACTCACTCAAATCTGATGTAGAATTACTGCAGTATAAAACTGGGTAAAACATCTTCTGCGTACATGTCATGCATCTGAAGCCTGGCCTGGAGCAGTCAAGGCAAATAGGCTCTTATCTGGTGTACTGCCACCTAATGTCAAGGCAGAGTAATAGGACCAACTGCATACAGTTATGCTGAGAATTATGGGCAGATAGGATTTATGTTTGCTAACATATCCTGGTCTAATTTAAATCACTGTACTAAACCAATATACATTATATCAATGCAAACATGTATTGTGATGCTTGCAGTCACAAAGCCTGTTCATTCATTTTGACAAGTTTAGGCATTTCACTCCTAACAATTCCTTTTCTTTGCCATCTAAAGAGTAACAGGTACATCCCAGTTCTATAACCAAACGTACATCACTTTATGATGTTGTGAAGGTTACCTCAGCTATAGCTATCTCTTTCACACTACTTTTACATTAACTTGCCCCTGCATGACCCCATGCCATCCAAAATACTGCCCAAATCATGTTACATTGAGTTATCAACTCCTTATTCAGCTAATACACTGAATTCCTATTGTCCTACTCAACACATTTACAGTTCTTGAGCGTGTGCAGAACTTACACTTTTCACTTTGGCGATGAGACCACCAAAAGCACTCTGCAGCCATAATATAACAAACATTCAGGGCTGCAGAGTGCTTTAAAAATGGTGGGCTGCGCAAAAAATTAACTCGCATCTGATGTAGCATTAGATAGTTTCATAGATGAAGGTGGTGAAGGTGGTCTAGAGCAGAGTGCCTTAGTGAACCTGTATACAGCTTCATATTGAGGGTTAATTTAGGACATTCTGCCTGCATCTCAGGGGTCTTTGTGGGGTTAGGCTGGTGCTTGCAGGTTAGGATAGAACCAGCCATGTCCCCAGGTTGCACAGAGAGAAGACAGAAAAAGGTCTGCCTCCTCCCTGCACAGCAAGGGGGCCCTGCCATGCCCCCCTGCAACTACTCCTGCTGGGGTGTTGAGGGGAGCCAGCCCGGGCTCATGTGGTAGGGGGGCTCTGTTCACCCCTAGCTGCAGCAAGGCTAACATGACAGTTGTATGCTGCTGCTGTCAAGAGGCTCAGGTTGGGGGAGTGGTGAAAAGGAGCCCCCCCCCCCCCCACCAACGCGCCCCCCCCCCCCCCCCCCCACCATGCAGGCCCCACTCCCCAGCTACCCTGGCTAGGGTACTGCGGGAGGCTGGGCCAGACTCATGTGGCTTGGCTAGGTGTATTTGGAGGGAGGTGCTGCACTGTAGGGAAGCTCCATCCCCTGCCCCCCCACCCCTCCAGCCACTGCTCACAGTTGCCAACTGGTGGGGGGGTGTCTGGGGAGAGGGGCAGTCTGGCAGCCTCTTGGGAGGCAGCCTCTGAGTCCTGTCCCCCCACACCCCAAGATTGAGCCCATTGGGGTCAATGGTGCTCTAACTATGGTGCTTTTATGTAAAGTGCCATGAGTTAGAGCGCCTACCCAACAGGCTGCCTAAACATCTGTATGTACTCCTTGTCTTTGTCTAAAAACTTTCTGCCATGAATCCCTTCTAAACTGCTGGTCTTTGTTCACTATGAAACAGCAATAGCAGTTTGACTGCACCAATGTGTTATACCTTGGCATTTTACTTACCAGAATTGAGCAGAATGATGGACTTAAGGCACACAAATTCCTCCCCCTGGAGATTCATCATACGAAATCGAGCAGCAGTAGCCAGCAGCATGTCAAAGATCTCCACCATGCCTTCTACACACTTCCCTTGATTTCTGTAAGAACAAAAGCACAGAGCAAGTCATTCACAGCTGCAATCAATACAATAGGTTGTTTTTCAGCTCCAGATCCTCCCACCATAATTTGATTTCTTAAGTACCAACAGCATTCTCATTTTTAGCACTTGTTATGCTCACTTTGTACTCCCATGACACAACTATCATCATGCAACCAAAATACAGAGAACTTTTCTCCCCAAAAGATGTGTTTTATTAAATAGATTGTACACCAGTAGACATTATTGTAAAAGTGAGAGAGAATCACTGTTAGACTCTTGAGGCCAAATCTGTGTTTTAAGAAAAAAAGAGGTTCAAAAAATAATATTTTCTTTTTTCTGTTCAAGTTTGTCACTGATTACAGTAATTTGTATTCTCTTCTTTTCCTTTGCTAACTATTTTTATTACCTCTTCTGAATTTCTTTTATTTTTTTTCCATAGAATTTTTTTTTGTTTTGTTCTTATTTGCCTTGTAACCTTTAATGGCAATCCCATTTCTCAGTATAATGATTCAGAAGTTCCTTATTATTTAATGGGTATTCATGTCACAACATTAAAAAGTAATGCATCTCAAGACATATCTCAATGGTACTGTAAAACATACAACCAATGGCTCAGCAATGTCTTTTAACCTACTCTTCCAATTCAATGACAATAAATAAATATGCTCAATTTATCAATAAAATGGTGAGGGGTATCCCTCTAAATGTTAATCATGTAAACTCAAGATGGAGATAATGAATTAGAACTATTATAAACAATTCTCTGTGGATGAGGAACAAGTTGGAAATCCTACCATATTTATATCACCATATCTTAGCTAATTAGTCTTTTTGCTGATCGTTAGTAGCAAAACTTATTTTGACTTATCAAAAATCTGTGACTGTAGCCAGACAGGGTAAGCAGATTTTCTGCTTGAAATGCCATTTTTACATAGCCCCTTTTCTGAAGAGGATGGAATTTTAAAGACCACTTGCATAAGAAACTGCAAAGTGGCTCTGAAATATCAAGTAAACAGTATTTATTTCAATTATGGAGACTAAACAAACCAAAGGGACTGAAATGTAAGAGCATAAAAGAGCTTGTTTATACCACAATGAGGATGAGCCCTGGACAAGATCTTCTCTGGAGGGTCCTGTAGCAATGCTCCAAACCTGAAAACCCACACAGGAAGGTGCTCTGTAATGTGAATCTCAAGACCTTGGTCTCCAGCATGCCTGAGCGTGGTCACTAGGAGCCATCCAAGAATAGCCACAGTAGCATATTTTCAGCTTTGGAGGACGAAGTGAGCAGGTAAGGCATGCCCAGTAGCATCCCAGTCAGGGCTTGCTTCTGACAGTATGGACAAGCCCTAAGGACTTACCTGCTTGAGTTAAAAAATAAGGAACTGCTGCCATTCACAAAACCCCTTAGGTGCTGCTCAACCCTGAAGATGCTTAAGATTTTCCATTTAGCATATACAAAACAGTCTAAAACCTGATGATGTCTACCTACTCAGCACCTTAGCTCATGACTAAGTCTTGCGGTCACAGAATAGGAATTTATGCCCTTCTAACCTGTGGGATCAATAGAACAGGCATTCTCAGAGCCTACAGAAGATGACCAAGGAGAGAGGGAAGTAAAGCCAGACAATAGCACAAAAATTAAGACTCCACAGTCTAGTGCAGGAATCAGCAACATCTGCCCATGGCCTCGATCTAGCCCACAGAGCCACTGCATCCAGTCTGCAGAGCTGGAGCTGAAGTTCGTATGTTGGTGGCAGGGTATTTTGCACCTGCTAAATAGCTGAGACCTAAGCTCATGCCTGCACCACTGCTTTTCCTTACCCCTCTAGTTGCACTATAGGTACAGCTCCAAGACATCCAGTCCCAGTGTGGACAAAGCTCCCCCCTCAACTCTTCCCCACACCATCACCGATATACTGGTGAAGACCCATCACCAAAGCCTCTCAGCTGGTGTTGGACCAGAGCCAGGTTATTTCAGCCTATGGCTCAGAAAGGCTGCCAAATGCTCAAAAAGGCTGTCAAATTGGTTAGGGCACTCCACTCAGATTTGAGAGAATACAGCTCAAGCCCTGCTTTAATGAATAGTGAAACAATTTTAAAAAGGAACACGCAGAGAGAGATTTACCCCTAAGGTAAATGGATACAGACTTTTTAAGGCAGGGATGAATTGGAATTCAAAAGAGGAGTTTTCAGATATTCCATTGTCAGATCAGCTGCAATAGCTAATGCAAAGGGAGTTGTCATCTGGGAAAAATCACAGCAAGACTACGGAAACTCTGCACAGAGAGAAGAATGTTGAAAAATTGAATCGGTCAAGCCCAGGTGCACTTCTTTTCTGTTTGGACATCAATATAATAAAGAGAAGTGAAGTGCTGTTCCACAGTGTTGTTTGCAGATAGAAAAACTAGTAGGAATTCAAAGTGAAAATATACAAAATCCCAGCTCCCCCAAAATGTCTGCTGCTTGTTAAAATGTATATCCACAGAGAAAAAAAAAAACCTCTGTAAATGTTTCTTCATAAAATTTCAAGTAACAGACATCTTGATCTGTTCAGCTCCTTTGTTTTTGGCAAAGAGGCTTTTTCTGCTTATAACTGAAGGAGGATTAACCCCCCATTTCTGGAACTGACTAACAGTTCAAAGGAGTCTTTGTTTCAGCACCTTGCAACTTCTTAAGAAAAACTGAGCCAGAGATTGACTATAGCTAGCAGTAAGAAAAAGGATGCCGTGATGGCCTTTGGCACATGTTACATGTTTCCTTCTCAGACCCCAAGGAAGGTTTGGTATGACATTTAGATGTATCCTAAAAGCCATCAAGCTGCTATCAGCCAGCATCCAGCATCTCAAAATATTACAGACCCTGGACTGACTGCCAAATTTGCATGTTGCTGTTTTCAGTGTATTCTTCCTGCCAACAGGATTTTTCTATGATATATGCCAACAAGCAACATTATAAAGTGTCATGATTCAACAGAGGGAGCTCCATCTTTTCTTATGAAGTAATGCTCTTTAGTCAATTAGTCACCTTTATGGTATTCTCAGTGAAAATATATTAATATCAAGTAGATCAATATTCCAGTCAACTTCAATATTCTGATCAAGGATGCTTTTTCTGTACGTATAACAGGAGAAATCTAAAATATTTGCAGACATTTGTAATGATATGACCTAATTTTCAAACTCATTTATCTGATGCCAGCTGAGGTAAAGTACCTAAAAAAATTATCAGATTTCAGAAACCGAGAGTACCTGCAGATCCTATTAACATCAACAGTACTTGTTGATTCTACAGTTCTCTAAAATTAGAACATCCTGGCCAGGGACAGACATTCAAATAACCTGAGTCTGAACTGATTCAGGCTTTACAGGTTAGTTTAACCTGGCTAGGCTGAACCGGTTTCTAACTGGAGAGACACATACACAGACACCTCTTGGCATTAACTAGCACACCACATGTCCATGGGGCTGGAGTGCGTGCTGTGGGAGATGGGAGGGGGGGTATCATGCTTGAGTGAGCAGTGAGGGGGGAAAGGGGGAGGGCAGGGGAAAGCCAGGCAGACCCTGCTGTGCCTGCAGTCTCTGCCAGAGCTGCAGCCAGGGAGCAGAGGCGAGGGGCCAGCCCTGCTGTGGAGCAGAGAGCCCCACCCAGCCCAGAGAGCATTCTGGGATGCTGGGGGAGTCTGGTCTAACTTAAACCAGCAAGGGGTCTGGGACAGACATTGCATAAACCAGTCTGACCCAAATCAGTTAAGTCTGATACTACATTCAACCAGGTTTATTTCAAACCAGTTTTAGCCATTTTCAAACTGGTTTATGTGCACTGAACGTCTGTTCTGTTACAGGTGTAAACCAGTTTCTGATCACTTAAACCAGTTTATGTGTAATGTCTGCCCCTAGCTTTATTCAGGTATCTCAATGTAGATTTGAAAATGCTACCTTATGAGTTCTATGCCTTAGTTTCCAAGTGAAGTCGCTATGAGCTATGCACTTCTCACCTTTGAAAATCAGGCCACCAATATAATACTTCTCTGGTAGTCAGGGGGATCAACCCATTTACTGGTAGAAAACCCTTCTAAAGCTTCAGGGAAAAAGTGAGTCAATAGAAAAGAAAACAACGAAGTTCTATACAGACTCCACCAGGGTATCTGTTGCCTTACAATCAGAAAGATTTTTAAAACAAATTATCAAACTATTGTAATACTTACTCATAGTCTAATCCATTAATAGGAAGCATGCATTTAGAATTTAGGAGAAGAAGCTATGGGGAATTTGCTTCCTAGTTGAGAAAGACCACTTGACTTTTCAAATTGTTGTCATCCATCCAGTGGTCATCCCTACTCATTTTGTCAAAAGCAGATCAGACAGCAAAGGCCTGTTTATGCAGAAGAAACAGAATCTTTGAGGCTTCCCTTTATGTGAAAGCTTAAAGTAGTTAACTAGTAATGAAAAGTTAATGAAAATAAGTGTATAGAAATATGTGCATTAACTTCATAACTTAATTCCTCAGCATCAGGAAAATCTACTACAAAGGTATAAGACCCTAATGTCACCTGATCATTTGTTGTCATGCTAAAGAGAAAAAGGATTCTGAGTGAGTGGCTAGAAAATCTCTTAAAAGAGTTTAGTGCCAGAAGGGTTGATTAAAACCAGTTATTTATTACTTGCTTTTAACCAAGTATCCAAATATAGTGCCAATACCTTAGTAAAGTATAAGAACAGTCTTTAAATCACTAGCTTTGAATGTTGTTTCCTCTGCTAATGCACTGTTTTAGATTTGTGTGCTCTGGCTATAGCTTGTGTTCAAATTTGGCACTAAATACAGATACACAGGAAAAATAGCACTCTGAGTTTTTCATATTTTGAAAACTCTTCTGTTTTGATTCAGCTTGAATTTCAGAAAAGGCTTTGGACAACTTGGAAGTTCTGTTTTATTCATAGTGGCTTGTTTGTTCCTAAACCATTATTTTCTACCACTTTCATCCTTTGTTCCATCTTG